AAAATAAGAAAGCAGGAGAGGATCGGAAAGGACGCTGTCGAGTGTTGGCGACAACCTCGACCACATAACCTGCAATTCTTTTGAAATCACGATGATTTACTCAGGTAGTTAAAACGCATCATAAATTGTGATAATTTAAAAGGACTGAGTCAAATCAAAAGATTATTCTAGATAACAACGGTGTTTTTCTTTCGTATAATTTTTTCTGCATAAGGCAAGAACCCTGTTGTTCTTCCTAACTACAAGATGGCGTTTTAGTTCGACTCTTAGTATGGAGGATATTTGAATGGAATTAGAATATATCCTAGGAAAGGCCGGCATATTCATGACATAGGATTTTCTGAAATGTTAATTTTGCTGAACGGTTTCTCTGTTTAAGTTTAAAATTCAGGATTTTTGTTCAAAAACTCCCAACATCCACTTGATGGATTTTCAAAACAAATACACTTCAGTTCAGTTCAGTTCAGTTTATTGAGGGAAATGTAAGTCTTCACCTTTGAACTCCCTATTTGTTTACAAACAACTGCAAAATCTCAAAAACTCGAAAAGGTATCATAAAGGAACAAATAATCGGAAAAGCGTCAAGTCTGTACAGACAAACAAACTGTCTCGAATTTTAGTGGTACGAGCAGTTGTAGAGCTGTCGTTTCGAGTGCAGCGAAATAAATAATATATCCGGTGACAAAATTTGCATATGTGCATGTCAGTAAGCGTAGGCGATGGGCTGGTACAATAATACATTTAATTTAAAATGTTACTGAAATATAGCAAGTAGTATTATAATAACGGAATTTGTCGAGGTTACAGAGATCGGGGTGGTAGTTTAGTGGACACTGCTACACAAATCCAGCTTCCTCTTAAAGACCTCGACGGAAGCAGACCTAACGACATCCACAGGCAGGGCATTCCAGGCTTCTAGCACTCTGTTGGAGAAGAAGAACTTTCGTGTGTCCAGTCTGGCCCCTGTCACACGTAGTTTGAATGGATGGCCTCGTAGATTTGTGGTGGTTGCTAACTCGAAGAAGTCCCCCGATACGAGGCTGCAGTCCTGACCGCGTATGATACGGAAGGCTTGTATCAGGTCACCCCGTAACTGCCTGTAACTCAAGGGAAAAAGATCAAGGTTAGCTAACCGCGTTGCATATGGTAGTGAACCCTGTCCTGCCACAAGTTTCGTTGCACGCCTTTGAACCCTTTCAAGGATGCTGAGGTCCTTCGCGGTCCAGGGTCTCCAAGCTTGGATAGTAAATTCTAGTTGCGGACGCACAAAAGTTCGAAAGACTTTAGCGAAGCAGTCTTCATCAAAGGCAGAGAAAGCCCGCTTGACAAGGTAGAGGACTGACATTGCAGACTTGGCTATCTTCGTGCAGTGCAGCGAGGGTTTGAGCGAGGTCGTAATCCGTACTCCCAAGTCCTTCTGCGAGTCCACTTCTTGCAGTGGTATATCATTTAGGCAGTAGGCCATATGGTTCGGAGAGCGAGCTCTGCCGACTCGTAGAATATTGCACTTTTTCTCGTTGAACGGCAGAAGCCAGGCCTTTGACCACTGTTGGAGTCGGTTTAGGTTCGCCTGCAAATGCTCTTCGTCATCTGCAGTTCGAATGACGCTCCAGAGCTTAATGTCATCCGCAAACATGGCGACACCACAATCCAGTTCACTCACGCAATCGTTGACGTAAATGATGAACAAAGTAGGACCAAGAACTGAGCCTTGGGGAACACCGCTTTTAACGGCAACCTCCGTCGACTTCTGGCCACCGACATGGACAGTTTGAAAACGGTCTAATAGGAAGCTTTGAATCCATTTTAAGAGGTTACCCCTAACGCCTGTTCGGCTCAGTTTGTGCAGGAGTCGCTGATGTGGGACACTATCAAATGCCTTTTTAAAGTCGATTTAGACTACATGCAGCGCATTGCCTTCATCAACTGACCGAGTCCAACGTTCCAAACAGTTGAGCAAGTTAGTCACGCAAGACCTGCCACTACGAAACCCATGTTGCGCATCAGATAATAGATTATGCTGCTCTAGGAAGCGCATCAGCTCTCGCTTGATTATTTTCTCCATGAGTTTGCAGCAGATGGAGGTGAGGCTAATTGGCGTATAATTGTTTGCAGAGGCCTTGCTGCCTCCTTTATGCAGTGGTGTGATCCGCGCAGATTTCCAGTCGGCGGGCAAGCAGCCGGCTTCGAACGAGGCTTGGAAAAGCATGGACAATGGTTTGGCTAGTTCGGCAGCGAGCTCCTTCAGTAACTTAGGCGGTATGTCGTCTGGACCTGGTGATTTCGACTCATTTAGCGTCATAAGCTCTTTGCGAACCGTCGCTTCATCAAAAGATACAGACTCAATTTTTGGACCCTCATCGAATTCGTAGTCGGGAGGAGTAAATGGACTTTCACTAGTAAAGATGGATTTGAAAAATTGTGAAAAGTGCTCAGCTTTTTCTCCATCCTCACTAATCTCTACGTCTCCGCTTGTCTTCAGGAGGGGGATTGGATCTCCGTTTCGTGTGCTGCTTCTTAAGTAGCTGTAGAATAATTTTGGATTTTCCATAGCACGATTCAATAGGTCTTTTTCAAAATTTTGCGGTGTCCTGATGGTCAGTCGCTTGACTAAGTTCCTCTGTATTTTGTATGCGTTTATGTATACAGGAGTCCCATCAGTAAGAGATTTCTGCCACAATCTCCGTTTTTTATTTATTTCCTTTTTTAACGCCTGAGTCAGCCACCGGGGTCGATTGTTTAGCCCCTTTCGTGAAAGCGGGCAGTGGTTTGTCAGGAGAACATGCAATAATCCACTGAACCATTTCCAATCCTCCTCTATATTTCCGGAAAACGCTGATTCCCAGTCCGTATTGTTGATTTCGGCCTTCATTTGATCGAAGTCCCCACGCCAAATATTTCTTCTAATTTAGGTGGGCTGTTCAGGCACGGAAAAGATTGAATAGTCCCATTGAAGTACAACGTGATCGCTTCGACCTAAGGGAGGCAGACATTGTACCACATCTATGCTGTCCATCGAGTTCGTGAGCACCAGGTCCAAGCAGTTTGCCTGCTGCCCCTCACGGGCCATCGTGTGAAATAGGACGTGCTGTGTGAGAAATGACCTGAGCGCCATGTCCAAGAAGCGTCGGTCGAAAGCTAGTTCTGGGCCGCGCGCGTATATTGAACTCCAATCAATGAGCGGTGCATTGAAGTCGCCCATGATTAGGACGTCAGGCCGGAGAGCAAATCGTCCTAGCTCCTCTAACAGACGAGCGTCAGCCTCGGGGTCACTCCTCGGTGGTCGATAGACGGTCAGAACTTCAAGGCTATGTGATCCTGGTACCCTTATAGTGAGCCAGATAGTCTCGGCGCTGCATGCAAACTGTTCTGTTTTTTCTGACACAAGCAGGCCGTGTTTTACGTACGTGACGACTCCTCCTCCCTGACGCTCTCTCCTGCCTCTTCGAAACAACTGAAATCCTGGTAGCATTAATTCGCGGTCATCCACGTTTTCAGACAGCCAGGTTTCTGTCAAAGAGACAATGTCAGGGGAAAGGTCACAGATGCGGATCTTCAGTTCGTCTAATTTGGGCAATATAATCTGCACGTTGGTGTAAAAAAATGTTAGTTTCAGAGTTTTGGGGCGTTTGATTATAATGCCGCTTGTGATCCCATTTAAGGAAGCTACTGTGCCCTCATCCGGATCGGTTCGGTCCAACGGATTAGGGGAGGGCGTTGCACTATCTGGTTGTTGTAGATCACAAGATCCGTCTCGCCATTCTGCAACCTTGTTCTCAGTTCCAGAACTAATTGTCGACGTTTTATTCTCTCTGCCGGTGTGTAGTCCGGCTGAAAAAACGCCTCGGTTGATGTCTTTGATTCGGAATCGTCGTGAGAGAATAAGTCCTACTTGTTCTTGGTTGGCTAACACAATTTTGAGTGGTCGGGGACGTGAGTGCTCTGATATGTCGATTGAGCGCTTTCCAAGCCTAAAGGCCTTGAGAACCGAAACTTCCTCATTGGGGCGCAGAAGTTCGTTGAGTAGGCATTGGAAGAGTTGCAGGTCTGCCGAGACCCGCTCTTTGGAGGCACTAGCTCTGGATTCGGGAAGTCCCTGAATAATCAGACATTGTCCTCTGACCTGCGACACTCTCGAGAACACAGTGGTTTCGTGCTCCGACGTAGGCAATATGTGGTTGCCATGATCTGACGAGGATATAAGCTGCAGTCGATTAAGATCCTCATTCGTCTCTGTTTTGTTTGCATTTTCATCAAAGTCGGAAGTTTTTTGCGATAGGTTGAGGATTTTAGGACCCATGTCATATCCCGTGATGGGCGACACGGACGCCGACGTCCCTGGTTCCGGTTCTTCGGAGGCATTCCTCGGGATCTGCTGTTCATGCCCTTCGACCTTTTTGCTGCAGGATTTCTTTTTTTCCTCCGGTTTTTTATCGTTGCTTCGCTGGTTGTTGTCGTCTTGTATTTTATGTGTTTGTGCTGGGTGTGCCGTGACATCTGCAGAAGGTGTTGATGGCGTATTTTTTGTGCGACGTCCTTTGGCCGTACTTCTAGTTATTCGTCCAACAGGTACATTCGCATCGTCAAGTGTGTCTAGTTTACAATGTAGAAGAGTTTTCCTCTTTTCCATCTCTTCCTCAAGGCGGTTGATATTGCCGGCCAATATCTCGCATCCACTGCAAAATCGATCGGTATGCGGCACGCATTTACTATCAAGTAAACTTTGCGACATCGCTCGCCGTCGTGCCGCGGTGGCCGAGGGGTTAGCGTGCGCGACTGAAATGTCGGTGGTCGGTGGTTCGACTCCGTCATGCGGCGCAATGTTCAGCCGGAATGAATGAGATTATCCTGTGATTTAAATAGACTGACAGAGATTAAAATGTGCTTTAATACACCTATTCCATGAAAAATATCAGAATACAGTTTCTCGCGATGCACATGAAAATTCACCAGCCGATGCAAATGTAACCGCTGAGGGATTTGCTGCATTCTTATCTAAAACGTTCCTTGAATACATAAGCTGTCCGACTCTCAACACCAAGGTTTGAACAAGCACTATCTTTTGATTACGACATGTCATTTTGGTGGGGAGGGGTAGGAGGAAACGCCCGATATTTTCGACATTCTCAAACTTAATTACCAAAAGTGTTTCAAGCAGATCACATGGGAAACCGCGAAAATAGCACATTCCAGCCCAGGTTGCGCAAGATGTGGAAGCTCGCTAGTGTAGATGTAGCCATTGCATACGCGTGAAATCAAATAACTAATTTTTTCGTCCCATCCCCCCCCCCCCGCTCCAGTCACGGAGAACTGCATAACCTGAAAGTGCTGGGATAGATCAAAAATAAGGAAACATGAAAATCCACGACCACTTCCAGTTTTCTACACCGTACCTAACCTAGAGGGAAGATTCAAAACGCCTCCAGAGTTCCGCAAATACCGTATCCTCGAAAGGAAGTCTAGCTAATTGGAACTCTCTCCCATCTCGGTCGATATTATAAAAGGACCTGATGCCGACAATGCGAGGTATAACGAAAGACATACTTGCAAAGTTGGGTAAATTAAATCAGGATAACTGTAAAGAGTGACGTTTACACTCTCGAAACTAGCAATGTCTATCCGGAAAATAGTACCCCGAATGTCCGATCTTCACCACACATCTCATTCAGATACGTATTGTCGTTAGATCGAAACCTTCGAGTTCAATTCGTGCATTGAAAACGAAAGAGCCAAGCACGCCCTCCATCTAATCCGAGATAATTCTACCACTACCTTTCAGGATGCGCAATGTGCTACTGCGCACAAGGCAGACATCCCCGTCTCGAAGGCCCCCTAAATTCCTTCTTACGGCTAGAACATAAGAAATAAGAGAGATTTAGTTCTATACTGAAATCAGTCTTCAGTGGAAGAAAATAGCACCGACATTTGTCTTACCAAGAACGTTGCCGGCTTACAGGCCTCGATCCTTTATGGTTCCGTAGATTACAAAAGGGACTATTTTTGCTATTTAAACTCTTATATAATCACACATTTAACCCACTCACTTCTTTAAGACACCATATCCACCCACGACGTAACAGTCACCGTGAGGTCTTCTTATTTCTGCCTCTGGCACTTACTGTTAAATATCGTCGGTTCTATTCTGTAAATGCAATTGCTATTTGGAATAAACTACCAATGAGTGTGAAAACTCTGCAAAATTATCCTTTATTTAAGAGAACTATTACTCGATTTTTGCATTCAGAAAAGCTTCCTCTAATTTTGGGTTCTGAATCCACTGATCGACTCTACCGTAGCGATGGCGTTTGTGGTCTCTGAACACTATGGCCGGTCTCACCAGCTGTTCCTCAACGCCTCTACTTTGACTATCCCCAACTTCATGAAAGGAATGGACGTCCGATAATCTCCGATACCGTGCAACCCCCTCCCCCCCTTCTTGACGGTCGAAGATCTACCGCCAGCAGTTTTTTTCTCCTGAGCCCTCTAAACCATAAAAACCACCATCAACAATATTTTTATTCTTCAGGAGTTTTTTTTCACTGCTGGTCGTATTTGTGTTTAATCGCTTCCCTTGACAATGCCTGTAAACCGGCATCTAATAAATTAAATTAAACACGATCAAATGTTCTAGTTAAT